TGATACGAACTATATTTATTTTTATGTGTTCTTTCAAAACCTCTTCTAATAAATTCTTGTGCTTCTTCTTCATTTGGTAAATATCTTCAGCTCTAACAACTTCTTTTCCTTTTCTCTTAAAGAGTTTCATTTTCTGTTATCAAAAGGATTTATCTTAGGTCTTCTAATATGATTATTTGTACTTAAAGTTAAATTTTCTAATTTTTCTAACAAAGATAGTGGAAGTGATGAAGATGTTTTATGTAAAACTTGGTTTATTTCAGCTATATGTTCTTCAACTTGATCTAATTTTTCAGCCAAACTTAAAAGTTGTCACATCGACAAAAATTTAATCAGTAATCTGAAGAGTTACTCACGAATCGATACGTATAACTTGAAATCATATATGATTAATAATTAAGATTTAATTATGATAAGGTGTCTTATGAACTAAAATCTTATGTGGAATCTTGCTAAATGGTTCTCAATTCTACACGTGTCATATCTGAAATCATATGTTGAATGTATGAGTAATACATAATAGTAGTTTAATTATTTTAAATAATACATAGTAGTTGAATCACGTGAATAATACATAATAGTAGAATGTATAAGTGTTTTACCATAGTTTTTCTCAATATACTAAAAATCAACAAATATTGAAAAGACTAAAATATAGCTCCTACATAATTGGAAATGAAATTATAATCCGGCACTTATTCTTTAAAATATATATATTTTGATGAAGTAAAATGAAAAAGAGCTCGGTTCTATATTTAGCTTGGCACTGTTGGAGACGTAAAGATTTAAGGGAATTTTTATGAAAAGGATTTGGGTTAAGTTTATTTTAATAAAAAACAATGCTATAGTTTTATTTAATGAAAAAGACATAATTTTAATATTAAAAAAATTAAAACAAAAAAAATTGACGTGTACAAACTGTTTATGAAACTTACTAAATTGTTTAGGAAACTTAACAGTACTACACTGTTTATGAAACTTAATACACTGTTTATAAAACTTAATACATTGTTTATGAAATTTAACAGTAATATACTATTCATGAAACTTAACGGTACTCCTCTGTCGGTAGATGAAGATTAATTATATATGTAGTTATATAATAATATATATGTGTAAAAACAATAGAAAATTCCTAATCCTCCTTTAGTGTATGTAATCTACAAGGGACGAATGTGACTAAATTCTTGCACAAGCAGTCTAAACACATTGAATGTCGCTTTTGTTCCCGTTGTTCTTCAACATACACCTCTTTCCCCCGCTTCACATTATGGGCAGTTTGGTTTAGACCATTTCAAAACACCCGAAGATGGAACTGATAAAACATTACGTATCTTTGTACAAGATTGCAGGTTATCAATTTCGTAGTTGGGATCAACGACATAAACGTGATGGCCGGGGCCATTTTAAAAGTAAATGTACTGTCGTCTTTCCAGATCTAAAGAACAGTTGAATAAGGTAATGTTCTCCTAAAACTCTTTTGAGAAGTGGAAATGAGAGATTGAAATGTTGAGGATCTTTGAAACTTTTACCAGCAAGCAATTATCTGAGTCGTATAGATGGACTATACTTATAATCAATGATTTTGATAGAGAATTTGGCCGGAATTGGAGGAGAAAGGAGATGAAGAATAATGAGGCGATGATGAAGTATTGCACACGCTGTACTTAGGTTTTTTTTTTAATTATTTTACTCTTATTATTAAATAAAGTTATAGGATGACTTTTGATTAAAACTCAAAGTTTAGAAACCATTTTCATTATTTTTCCTAAGATTGGATTTTTAATCCTTTCTTCTTTTTTTTTTTTATTGAATCCCAACTTCAAATGATTCAACAATCTAACATTTCATCTAACAAATCTATCGTTTGACGAGAAAAAAAAAAAAAAAAACACGATTCAACGATTGCTCAATACACCAAATTAATGCTTTATATAATTAGCTAGCTCGCGGCATGTGCATATTTTTAAGAAACTCGACCCTTATCTGGTCATGAAAACCTTCCTCTTTGATCTTCTCGTAGCTCCATCTCATCCAAAGCATGTCAAAATGGCAAAGCAAATCGTTCTAAGGCCGGCAAGGCCATCATTATATCGAGGTCAAAACAACAATAAACATGTGGATGGTTCAGTTTCACCTTCGCTGTATTCAAGCACGGAAATCAGTAATTTTAAAGACATAAGATAAAGTAAGGGAGTACGCAGCGTTCAATACTGTGATCTACGAGAACAGTAAGAAATGAAACTACAACACCGTTCAATATACATTTCATCCTTTACTTTAAAACCGGTATCTGAACTAGCTACATCATATCCCAAAACTTGAAATTCAATTAACATCTAGACCTGCTAATTACATTCAATTCAGAATTCCAGCTTGTTTAGCAATTTGACGGACGACAAATACAAACACAAGCCAAGATCATATTCAGTCATGCATTTCCTCAGAAGGCGGCACACTGCGAGATGAATTTGGGGCATGTTCTGATAATGGTGGATTGAAGTTACCTGCTTGCTTATTGATGCGGCTTTCTTCTCCACGGTCAGGTGACTTTGGACCTGACTTGAACGCATTCGTAAAATCACTAGCATCGGTAGAGTCATTCACTAGCCTGTTCAACTTTTGCTCCTACAAAAAGAAAATCCGGAAATTGGCAAGATGAATTATTGCAATATTAGTCGAAGCAATGGAAATTCCTTTCCCCTTGTGCTGAAAACTGTGATGATGTATTACAGATACATACCCTCTGCAGTGCTTCATGCTCAGCTTGAATTCGAAATGGAACACCATGTTTTTGATACACATTGTTTTGTGCCAAGTCTTCGTCAATGTCACCAACTGTGGTTGCAAAAGGATGATTGGCAGGAATCCACCTAACCGTATCAGGGTCAACATCCGGCGGTATTGAATCCCCTTCCTTAAGGAAAATTGTAGGTCTCTTCCACTGGTAAGCGCGCGACCTCCTTTTCTGATGGACAACTTGCTGCTCTTTTGTGAGCGTAACAGGGGCTAGGCGGTAAACCTTTCCGCACATCTCTACAGTTGAATTTCCTTTACCAAGCTTGACCAGTGGATTATTGAATGGGTCATCATACTTGAGAGGCGTTGAACTGTGAAATAAACAATCGGAATTTAAGTCTTCAAAGTTATCGTCTCAACAAAGATTATTATACAAAGACCATGAGAAAACAAGTGTGATAAGGATTGAAATCATACATGCCTCTTCTATCAGACCTAAGCTGACCGCGTCTAACAAGATCAGCGACAGAGCCAGGGCGGTCGTACTTAGATTTCCTAACCACAAACACTCTCACGGCAATGACCACAAATGCAGTTGCTATACACAAACCAATTGCCAAATCGAATCCCTCTCGTTGTCGCATCTGATCATTATCCCGAAAAGAAAGCATATTACAGTTAAACCGGTTGCAATGCATAGACCGCAAGCCAATGTACACGTTGTACAGACACTGAAACAAAAACCCAGCAAGAAAAAAACATTCCCATAACAGAAACCCTAAAATTAGTAATGAAAATGTTACCGAAAGGACCAAGGGGGTGACGGAGCTGATCATTCCCTGCAATTTTCCCATTGAGTCTTTGTGATTTGTTATGGTAATTTTGTTCTCAGTCTTCGCTACCTCACCATTAGGAGATGTGTGGTCGTCACCAGCAGAACCAACCGAGCCGTCAATGGCTCTCAGTCGAAACCTCTCACTGGATTTCAGTCGCCGAACCCGGCCGAATTCGGGCCTAACTTTCAGTAGGAGTGAAGGGGTCCGATGGTTTGAGTCTGAGCCCCAAATCGAGGGCTATTATTCGGAATTCAAAGCCAAAATTAAAACGGTGAGAAATTGAAACAAATAAATTTGTGAAATTTGGTATCGTGACTGCAAAAAGCGCCATGTATGACAGAGGAAATGAAAGCGTGTTCAGAAACATACCTGAAAGGATAGCAACTGGAATTGGAGAGAAGAAATGGAAGCCATTACATTAGAGGATGACTGGGTCTAGTGCTTCAGTATCATATCTGAGAATCAATTAGAGCAATTTATTTTAATTTTTGCTAAATTAGCTAGTAAATAGTGTAAAAATATATATACATATATATCTTGGCTAAGTATTTAATTAGGAGTTTAAAATTTTTAAACAACTTTACACATATTAATCAATTCCCACGATTCTATATGCATTCAATTATGATTGAATTTTAAGACATTTTTAAAAAGAAAAACTTTAAATATAGAGATTTTATAATGTTTTTCAAACGTTTAGAAAATTACACCTCAACTTTTAGTAATTTTACTTAAAGTTCACATAAAATGTACGAAACTTCATTAAACTTTATGAATTTATAAATCTTTCATAATCTTTCAAAATCTTAAAACATCTCCATCATTGAAACACGGAGATTTAACTGAATAATTTTTAGGTATTAACTAATTTTTTTCTCAAAAAAATAATAAATTTATTAAAGGAAAAAAAAAAATCTAGGGCCAAGAATAAATACTTGATCAAATCACTTAATTTTAAATAAATCAGTTAGCTTTAATTATAAAGATTCACCAAAAGCACCTTTTTCCTTTCTAGACCTCCCAAATGAATTTTTATCTTAAGATAAATAAAGAATATTAGTGAATTTTTATCTTAACAGTGGAGTTGATTTTTTTAATTCTTTCTAAATTATAAGTAAAAACTCATTTAGAGAGCCTATTAGAGATTTAAAAATGGAGAAAAGTTACCAAAATAACACAGGGCGGCCAATCCTTTGAGATAAATTTTAAGCTTCTATTATACATGGTACGATAATAGTTAAGAGAGGTTGAAATGCCCTAATAAATTCTTCTTAGCCTCTTAAAAAGTTGGACTGATTTGCCGAGTCCCCCAGCTAATCTTTTTTTTTCTTTTTTCTTTTGAACAAATAATATCATCTACACTAACTTAACGTGATTCAAATTTGTTGTTTCGAAATTGTGTTTTGGGAAATTGACAGTAATTCTCCGAAAAATTACCGCGAAGCAAAGTTTAGCAAACACCGATTTTTGTATGTTTACCACCACCGTCGCTGAAGCTGTCTCCTTCTCCTTCTCCCTCAGATTCAAAGTAATAATTCTACTTCCTTGAGATTCAATATCAAACCTTGAGAAGCCTAGAGGGCCCAAAAGCCATGGCAGCTACTTACACTGCTCCTTCCTCGCTTATGCATTTGCTATAAACCCTAATCCCAATTTCCTCCTCACCCACTCAAATTAATTGTTTCTCCCTCAAAATTCAAACCCTTCTGAATTTCCTTCTCTGCTACACGAACTTATGGGCACAGGTATCTCCTATAAACCCTAATTATTCGTTGCTTTTTCTTCATACCCATTTGCTTTTACTTCTTCGCATTTAGATGCTATAATTTGGTAATGTATTTTGATGATTTTTCGAAACAAAATTTGTGGTTCTAATTGCATCAATCATTTGCTTACTCTTGCTTTAATTTTTTATTATAAACATTTTCTAATTTGGTTGATGAATTCCAGCTCGTAGTTTGACGGAGGAAGAGAGAAAGAGGGGCAGGGAAATTACTTGGGATGATAAGGAAGTCTGCGGGCACTATTTAGTTCGGTTTTGTCCGTTCCATCTCTTCGCCAATACTCGAAGCAATCTAGGTGCATTGCTTTTAAATTTCGTGTTGAATTGCACCTGTTTAAACTATTTAGTTGCTGAGAAAGAGCAAGCAAGAAATGTTTGAATTGGGATTCGATTCCCATTTCATTTGCTTTTCGGATTTTTGGAGAGTATAACACATCACTGACACCAAATCTTTTGTTTATGAATCAGGACAGTGCCCTAAAATCCATGACCCGAAGTTGAAGGAAAGGTGACTAACTGGACATTTTATTTAGATTAGGATTTTCTTGTGGGAAGTGATTCTTGAGGTGTCATATTGCCCCTTTTTTATACATCTAGATCGAATGCAATTAAAGGAATTATCTTTTCTTCTTTCATGTTAAGTTAATTGGTTGTACTGGATTGGCTACAAAATATCCATTTTATGCATGCAGATTCATACGTGTGAAGTAAAACTTCAAATTACTTAAACCAATTGCATGTCGCAATACTTCAATGTCGCTCCAATGTATGCATACTTAGCAGGTTCATACATGTGTGTACAATTGCTTTCATTAAGCGTTTATAAGAGTATGCAAGACTGTTTGTTGAAACTCAAAGTTTAGTTTTCAAAATCAGATGATAATCTGAGGTCATTAAATACTCTTTCTTCCATTTTATCAGAAATTTACAAACTTACTGACTGCCTTTTCATCATAAATCCATCAGCTGCTGCGTTTTATTTTCCTTCAAGGACCCCCTTTTTCTACCTGCTATTGGACTGATTATTTTCTCCCTTCTAGTTTTAAGTGTTACTTTTTATTTTCTTATTATAGTTTTGAGAAGTCACCACAGCATGATGCATATGTGCCCAAGTTTGAAGCCGAACTTGCTCAGTTTTGTGAGATGTTGGTAAGTTGCACTTCTTTCCATTGGGTGATGATCAGAAATTATTCACCTATATTTATGCTCAATGAAAATAAAAATATTCACCAGTATTTCTTTGTCATATCGCAGGTGATCGATTTGGATAGAAGAGTAAGGCGTGAGCAAGAACACCGTCACCAAGAGGTGGAACCTGCACTACCACATCCACTGTCAATTGAAAAGTCCAAACATTTGTTTATTCTGGAGGAAAAGTTAAAGAAGTTGCTTGAACAAGTGGAGGCCCTTGGTGAATCCAGCAAGATGGATGAAGCTGAAGTGTCCATGAGAGAGGTGTTGCTATTCTTTCCTGATGTATATTTTATAATGTTAAGCATTTGTTTCCGAGTTTTGGAAAAAAAATAAAAGAATAAAAAATGGTGTGGACTAACAAATATTTTAATCCTATGACAGATGTCTAATAAAATTGTTGTGGAGAATCCTCAAGTTGGTCAGGGCCGTCAGGCTCAGGGTGGTTCAAGTGCCCCTACTCTTTTTGGTAATATCCAAACAAACTGGTCCAGTGTTATACTCCAGCAGATCTCAGTCTACGGTATAGCTGCTGGTTACTGCTTATCTGCCTCATTGCTTTCCATTATCAACAAGTGGGCTGTCGTGAAATTTCCTTATCCTGGGGCCCTAACTGCTTTACAGTATTTTACAAGTGCTATGGGGGTCCTTGTATGTGGCTGGCTTAAGTTGCTAGAACATGATTCACTTGACCTTCTTACTATGTGGCGCTTCCTACCAGCAGCAGTTATATTCTACCTCTCTCTCTTCACCAACAGTGAGCTCCTTCTTCATGCTAACGTTGACACTTTTATTGTCTTCCGTTCAGTTGTCCCAATCTTTGTTGCAATAGGAGAGACTCTCTTCTTGCACCAACCATGGCCATCAATAAGGACATGGGCCTCACTTGCCACTATTTTTGGAGGAAGTGTGATTTATGTGCTTACAGATTACCAGTTCACAGTCACGGCTTATAGTTGGGCTCTAGCTTACTTGGTAAGCATGTCCATAGATTTTGTCTACATAAAGCATGTGGTAATGACCATCGGCTTAAACACATGGGGTCTTGTATTGTATAACAATCTTGAGGCTCTTCTATTGTTCCCGCTGGAACTACTTGTAATGGGTGAATTGAAGAAGATTAAGCATGAAATCACGGACGAATCAGATTGGTATTCTTTTGATGTGCTTTTGCCAGTGGGGTTATCATGTTTATTTGGTTTGTCTATCTCTTTCTTTGGGTTTTCTTGCCGAAGGGCAATTTCTGCAACTGGATTTACGGTTCTTGGTATAGTGAATAAGCTATTGACTGTCGTGATTAATCTGATTATTTGGGACAAGCATTCAACCATAGTTGGTACAGTGGGGCTGTTAATATGTATGCTAGGCGGTGTTATGTATCAGCAATCTACAAGCAACAAGCCTAAGGTTGTAAATCAGGTGAAAGCACAAGAGGCGGAGGAAGAACAACAAAAGTTAATTGAGATGAACTCCAGCTTAGAAAGCAATAGCAATGAGAAATGGAATGCTGAATCGGAACAGGGAAATTGAGAGAAGGAATTTTCAAGAGGTAATATTGTTCTATACTTTGCTTCTGGGTTTTAATTTCCTCTGGTCCAAAATTTATTGATTAGTAATTCTCCGGTGGGAACTTCTCATCGAGATGACTTGAGTTTCAAGTTTCACAGAATGCCTGTGATGGATATGTGGACAAAGATAAGCATTGTTATGACAACTTGGTTAATTGAATTAGTTGTTAGCCAGAAACCTCTCTGTACTGATAAATTTATTGCTCAAGTCCAGTATACTACATTTATTCGCCTTGGGAACACGCTGTCAGACAAAATTTTGCGTTCTTTTGTTTTGTAAACTTGTATTCATCAGATCAGATAGTCTCGTCTCAATAGCAATACCATATTTCTTTCCTATCATCATAGATTCATAGCTTATTGCTTTTAACTGTGTACTTGTTAAAGTTACTGAAGACAGTGTTGGCTTTTAACTGTCTTTAATTCGATTAAAAGTTTTGAGTCAGCATGAACGGGCGTAGTTAACTAGTTTTAAATTACCAATTTGTAATTGAGAGGGAATTTTTTGTTATATTTCCGAATATGTTTTTGTTTACATTTTTCGTTGTCAAATTTCAAATCTTCCTCTCCTCCCCTACATAAAGATAATTAGACAAAGGCTTGGTAAAATTGTTAATGTCATAAATTATTTGCACTACCCTATCTATAAAACTAGTACTTTCAAATGTTTTTAATTCAAAAGGTGATTTGCTACCTCCGTTGGGGGTGGGGCCATGTCCTACTGAGGGCTTAGGATGTAATTGTATCTCCACATGAGGGGAAATTTTTTATTATGACGGGAACACGGATGTTACATCACGTGTTTTTCTATAAACGATGGAAAATTTTATTTTTTAAGTTATTAACTTTTTAACACATATATCCTATCATTTGTATAGTGATATATAATGTACCATCTCGTATGTCGGTCACACTGAAAAATCTCTTCAACATTTGGTGACAATGAATTGTTCATTCATCATATGACCGGTCATTTTAAATTCTACTAGTTACAAGCCTACTCGACTCGGCATTCATAAAACCCAGGTCCATTTAACCCATTTATTTTCAATAAATATCCATGGGCAATGATCACAGAAAATAAAAGAAGAAAAGGAGAAACAAGAGGCGGCCACTGACCCTGGCTGGCGACGGAAGGGGGGCGGGAGGAATTTAATTGGAACTTCGGAAGCTGGTTAGGTTTATCTTTATTATTCTTATTTATTGAAAAAAATGTTTCATTCTTAAAATCATAAGATAGTACAAAACTCAACTGTGATTATTTTTGTTTTATTTAAATGTCGAAAACTGGTTAGTTCATTTTTTTTTTAAGGAAAATTAATGAAAAATGTTTGAAATATTTACGTTTTAATGACAAAGACAAAATAAAGAATAAAGTGAATAGTATCAAGATTGACTTTTTAGTGTAAAAATATAGTTTTCCGTTAAAATGAACAATACCGATGTTTTTTTGTTAAAGTTCCAATTTTGACATTCCGGGCGTTCAATACACTATCTATATATTGTAGATAAGATATTGTGCATCATTCCATTTCAACTATTCACTTTTGTTTTCTTGTGTTTCTAGAGTGGCTAATTTCTCTTGTTTTAAAGGGTGTTCTAGAGAAGATGTCAAAATAATGGGGTTACTTTGATAAGTTGGGTGGGTCATAAAGCTTGTTTACTCAACGGTTCCGAAGAGAAGGGAATAAATGGCTTGTGAATAAAGAACTGTTAGCATAATATAGAGGATCTGCTTAATTTTGTCTGTTTTAGGATAAATATGCCTTCTAAGTTAGTGGATTAGCGAATATTAACACATGGACATATCGTTGAGTTGTTGCCTTGTATCATTGGAAGAAATTTCTAAGTTAGAATTTAACATATAACTCATACAATGTAATTGATTTGCATGATTTGGCTTATTTTAAAATTTAAGTGAAAACACGGCAATAAGTAAAGAAACTTCAAATTTAAACACAAACCAAACTGATAAAACACAAAATGGAAAAAAGGTAGGGTTTTCAAAACTTTCAATGTGAGGGTGATTCGCTTCAGAATGTGGAAGCGCCGAATGATCCATCTCTCAATCTGTCTTTGGTTAGACAAATTGTGGAGGACATCAAGGTGTTATTCCCAACAATCACTGAGGCTACCTTTTTTTCGTTCTCGCCGTCAAGCTAACGTTGTTGCCCAAAAGCTCGCACGTTTGGTCTTTCTTTGAGTCAAGTTTGTGAATGGTATACAAGTTTAATCTTAGATTTACTTGTTGAGGAAAATTTGTTACCTTGATTTGGCTTTTGTAATGAATCTCTGTAATGTGTTTTGATTAATGAATCTACTATCGTTTCCTTAAAATAAAAGAAAAAAAAAACCTTGATATTGGACTGATTCTGAACAAAGAATATTAGCTCTTCACTAATGGTCCTAGCTTCTGATTTGAACAATACCAAGGAGTGGGTTGTATCAATACAAATACTGAAATACAATAGGCCCACATTTGTTTTTCTTTTTGAAATGAATATAGCAATCACGTTGAGTCATGTTCGAAAAATCAATCATTTGTCCAAAAGAAGTTTGCATGAGAGAGTATCTCTCATTATTTTGGTAAGTGTAACTTTCAGTGTTAATTAATTTGTAGCAGCTAATTACAATTAACATTAGATCAAATCAAATGTCTTCTTAATTCGGTACACGAAAAGATAAACTTAAAAAAAAAAAAATTAATTCACTAACGCCGTCGTTCTGTTAAACAAATATTCAGTACTTTAACCATTTCACTAGGAAAAAAGAGATTTTAAATAACAAACTGAACTTTACAAATTGAGAATAAGATGATCAATTGTAGTGAACATGAAAAATTGAATTAAATTAAATAATAGAAAAATAGAATTGGGTAGAATAATTTTTATTACTTTATACAGAGATTCCTATGATCGAGTACACTGTACAACAAACAATGGAAATAAAATATCACAAATCAATTACAACAAAATGAGGTCTAATTAAACTCCTTGAATGGTGGGATTATGATTTTGATCATCATCACCTTCCAACGGATCTGAGTGTTAAAAGCAAATTAATTAAGAGTAACCCCCACACTTGTGGCACTTACTAGAGATCTCCGGAACCTGACGGCAGGACGGGCAGGACGAGTGCGATCGGAGCCACGTGTCGATGCACGCAACGTGGAAGCCGTGGCCACACTGCGGAAGCTCCCGGATCTCGTCCCCGGAGGCGAACTCGGTGAGGCAGATGGCGCACTCCGTGAATTTGGAAGTGCAGTCCGCCGTGTACGTAAGCTTCGGGAGAGAGCGTAGGACCTTTTTCTTCAGGCCCTTATTTGGCGGCTGTGGCGGAGGAAGAGGAGGTGTGGTAGTTGTGGCGGCAGCGGTGAGGCGGCGAAGCCAGACGCAGCGAGCGATGACGACGAGGCCGAGGACGCAGACGAGAGCGCAGAAGAGGGCGAGGAGGACTAAAGCGGAGTCTGAGCCCGTGGTGGCGGAGGACGAGGGTTCATCTTCCGGTCCGGAAAACAGCGAGGAAGACTTGAAGCCGCTTAACAATCTCAAAGGACGAGTCATGTCGAGAGATGGGGTTTGTTGAGTCAGTTGGTAGTTGCGATAGTGTACGAGAAACGTTTTTATAGGTAACAATCAGCTTTGGCTGTTGAGTCCTTGTCAACATGCCTTGTCAACATGTCGGAGCTGGATCCTTCCTATTGCGACAAATAAGAAAATAAATGAAATCATAGAGACAAACTGACCTACTTCTATCATTTTCGATATCACACTTTACTGCTTCTAATTATGAACTAGTGACATAGCTGTCTTCGGATTTTACTAGCGAGTAATGTTTTTCAGACACACAATGGTAACATTAAAATAGAATTCAACATTTCTAAATTTCAAATCGAAGAATCATACAAATGGATGAACCAAGCCGATTTGGAGTTAATATTTATTCACTTCGGATGAAAAACCATAGCAAATGATATATCAAACTGTAGATGATACAAAAATATAATCAGAACGGTACAATTTCTTATCATCATTTATAGATGATCCTTACAAAAGAAAATATCCGAACCATAGATTTGTAGTCTTCAAAATGTATAGAACGAAATAATGGTGTTAGTGCCAAATAACATACTCTCGATGAATAGTTCATTTATTTTATATATTTAGATAATGAGTAACAACTGAAAAGTTACATGTATGAAATCAGTACTGTAAAAATAAGTTATTTGCAAAGGGTGAATATGCATTGAACATCAATTTATTTGATATATTTAGATGACTAAATGATTTTCGATTCGAATTGAATTATTTTTTGCAAAAATGATCTGAAGATGATGATTAAGAAATTGAACAGTTCTGATAATTTAATTTTTGCGACAGAAATACCTAATTCACAAAGTATAAATATTGTAACATGTCGGTGTCAACTATTTCAGTGTATTCAATGACTTGATCATTTTCCAAATGAACTAAGCACGTTTTTTTCATTTTATACTTCAAATACATGGATTTCTTACGTGAGCTATTTTGTATACAAGAGAATACCATCTCCCCAGTCTCCACTAGCATTCTATCCTTTTATCTCACTTATTAATTTAATTATATTAGGTACAGAGTTATCTGACTTATTAATTTAATTATATTACGTACAGAGTTAATGGTACCGAATAAGTGTAAAAGGAGAATGTATTTGTTTTATATACAAAAAAGACAAGGCAAGGCGTCTCCACCATCCCTTCCCTTCCCTGGTGTTTGGGAAGTGGACAATAGTATAATACGATTCGTCTTTGTATCCCAATGTGGTTTGGAATGCAGCTGGACCGTTAAATGTGCTCAATTACGAGTGCTGTTTGGTTCAAAACCATTTGGGATCCTTTGGACGGTTTGGTGGCATGAATAAGTGCATTTTTGCTCCCTACCCTAATTTATAAATGGTGATAATGCTTATTATTATACTAATTATCATTATATTAGTTTAAATTTTAAAATTTGCTCACTACCCTAAATTATAAACGTGCTCCATGGCCCAAGAGTTGGGTACCAATCAGCTCGAATTGGAATATAATTATGAATAGTTAGTGCTTGTTATTGCTGTTTTGATCTTAGCTTTGTTGTCTGTTTTTCTTATTGTTGCAGCTCTCTTTGTTGCGTGTTTGTATTTTCAGCTACTCTTTGCTACTTGTATTCTCTTTTTCTTATCGATACATTTTACTTATCCAAAAAATAAAATAAAATTTCCTCTCGAATTGGAGGGATATGCAGCCTTCGTTGTTGCTGCGCTCTCTCTTCAAAAGGATGATAATATGTCTTTGTGGGGAGCTATAATTCAGGAGACGCGTTATTACCTACACTCCATTCCTCAAACCACAATCAAGCATACGCGGAGAGGGTCAAACAAGGTTGCTCACAGATTGACGCAACTGGGATTTACTCTAGATCAAAGATGAGTTTGGTTCGAGGAACCGCCTGATGTACAATTTTGTCTGGGTTGAAATCTCCGACAAAGTTTTTATCGAGGCCTATTAAATATGCACCCTATCCTACTATTTGTACGACTTCTATATTATATCAATTAACACTGTACTCTTTATCAAAAATAGATAGATTAAATTGAACTCATCCAACAATAATTAACAGGGTGATGAACAAAAATATTTCCACAAATATAATATGAATAGAGAAATTAAAATGGACTAGAATATCGGAGATGTTGTTTGGTAGTGTTAAAGTCCCACTCTCTCTCATCCACTTGAGTCGAATGGATGGCGATTGCAATCGATTCGGCAATTGATTCAATTGAGAGTTTCAAACAACGAGTTTCGAGATTTTGAATTTCTTTATTAACATATATGAGATTATTTACACTAAGAGGTGAAGAAGTGAGCTAAGCCTCACAATCGGATAGCCATAATAATTTAGTTCGAATTACCTTTGACGATAATCGAACCTAAAATCTTTCACTTACAAGTGAAAAATAATATCACATGATGGTAGTACTAATTGACTTTTAAGGAGTTACACATGACCTCAGTACCTGTGTGCACCAAACACAGGACAAGACTTCCCATCTTAGCACTCCAACACTAACCCATCCCTTCCAAAATGGAGGTGAAATCGAATCAAACAGAAAGTATGAGAAATCAAAATCAAATTGAAACTCCGTCACCAAACAATAAAATGGAAACTTCATCGCCAGCCAGACCATTCTGTTTTCTAGGGTACAGCTACAATCAAATTTTCAATCCTAGCCCAAACTCACAATCCGGTTGAGTTGCCTGCACGAAATTGAAACTCTCAGCCGAATCCCAACCTAATTGGTCCGAAATACAGTCTGATCCCTATCGAGACCGAACCAATTCTTTGGTTTAGTGCGTGTTATTGGGACTCCAAAAATCTCATTTTACACTTCTCACAAGTGTATTTTTCTTTCCAAATATAGAAAGTTTGAAATGTAAAATGAGATTTTTGAAGTACCAATAACAATTCCCTAGCGCTTTTACCATCAGTGGATTCCAATATGGTAACTCAATTGAACTTTCAGCAACTATGGTATGGCAAAAGCTATGAATATAAAAAATATAAGCCAAAAGAATCGGATAATTGACCACTAAATGTTGCACTTTGCTTTTCAATGTCAAGTTTTAGCACAATAGCCTGCCAATTATAAGTAAATACAGTACAACAACGTTTTGCAACAACACATCTGACCTACAAAAGTTCCCCCTTCTCACAAGTCAAACCTCACATTCCATTTACCATTACCATTGGCATTGAATGTCCAATTGTTTTCCCTGATCTGCATATATGGAACCTGAAAAAGGCGGAAAAATAATAAATACGAAGTGGAAAGTTCAATGTCGCCTTTAACTACAATTTACAAGGAAATGATTCAAAACTGGAACTGAGTTTTTTGACAAGCAATAGGATAATTAATTAAATTCATCTAACCTACAGGGATGGGTATTCGATATTGGGAACTGAGATTGATCAAATTAGCTCTAATATTTCATTCAGTCCACCAAAAGTGAAATACAAAGAGAAGATGTATACTAATCTTCTAGCATAAACGTAAAATTCGTTCGTTGCTGTTGTCTTATGATATTAGTAATTATCTATTCAATAGAAGATCTATTGATAAGAAACAAGATATTGTTGAATATATGAGTTCATATGAAATGATTCCAACAATGTAAACAAGACCCGCACAACAAGTCATAACCAAGTTTGAGCTAAGTAACAATACCTTGTCCAACAAGTCATAACCAAGTTTGAGCCTGACATCTTGGTCATTTTGAAAGTTCAAAATGCACCACGAAAATTCAGCAGCTCCAGTGGAGTTTCTCTGTGGAAGAATTAGAGCCAACATCAACATACAAAGGTTCTAACTTCTAACTCTAAGAAGGGATGACAAACACGCTAGAGAGCAGAGATAGAGAATAGAGAGCATATATTTTATTTTTCCGGTCTCAAGAGAGCGCATGTTTTGATTCAGCAATCATATAAAACGGGCACAACCGCACAAGTGTTTGCAAAGGTCAAAATAAAAGCAATTGAACTAGTACCAACCTCTTTAAATTCTTTGTCAAGATGACATCTTCCCTTAACATTGAAGCTGAACAGGCCATCTGTTGTCACAGGGAATGACTTCTTCGCACGGATAGTGTAGTGCAGTTTCTCGCGCTTATCATATTGCAATCCCACTCCAAGGCTTGCTGAAAACTACAATTGATTGTCATTGTCATTGCCAAATTCGCCAAGCATATCAACTATCCATTATTAATGATTAAATTTCAAAAAAGGAACAACATCGATGTTAGCCTAGCCTGGCCATAAATTGCACAAATAGATAATTCTATTTGATTGTTCTTGAGCTGCAATTCTAAATAAACTGCTGTAACCAGAACTTGGATATTGGAAAAATTGACATACGTCGGGGTAGAAGCGCCTCACTACCGCTCTCAAAAATGTTGGAACTCCAAATTTAGTATCTAACTCTCCAAGAATCTGACACACACGCACAGAAAAAAAAGGTCAAGCATTTGAGCACTGAATTGAATTCCCCAACATTGTATTACAACTCTAATGGCTACAAACTGGGAAATTTACTAATATTCAGTGACCACAGAAAAATGCATGAAAATTTCAACAGCAAAGCAATCAACCAAGAAAGCAAAACAGAGAGAGATTAAAAATTGAAGAAAATCGGGAGAAGAGAGGACCTGCAAGTGGGTTTTGGAATCGAGGGCGAGCTTCTGCTTGGCGTGGATTCTCAAAGCTTTGGCATCGCCGCCATATCTCAGAGAGGTCTCCATTTCACCACCGAAATACGAATCCGAAACCCTAGCTGGATATGGCGGAGAAGTCAAGTGAAGAGAGGACAGTCACCTACTCACACTACTCTCCCCACTCATCCCCGTTATCTTAAGGATTTTGGAGAGAAGACCATCACGTGCGTTTTTCGTTTCACACCCAATCATTGACGGCCACGCCATGTTTCAGCACGTGTTCTGCTTCAAAATTGGGCGAATTGGGCCTTGTCAAAGTGAGATGGGCTCAACTGGTTCCAGGATTTCTTCATCTGTTTTCCCATCCTCAGAGACGACGTACTTTGGAGACTGAAGAAACCCAAAACCTCTGCGAACGGCTGCTGCATTTGCTTTGGGGAGAGAGGGAAGGAAGAGAGAGATGCGAGAAATGGGTTTGAGAGTGGATGTGTTTCTGCTGGCACTCGCCGTCGTGTGGGCGCCTGTGTTGTCGGATCTGGTGATCTCCAAGGTTGACCGACGCGTAAGTCTCGTCTCCCTCCCTCCTTTCTCTGCAATTCAGCCTTACTCCATTCCCAGAATCCCTGATTCCATGAATTGGATTGTGTTTTTAATGTTTGCCTGATCAATGTTGTTGGAGATCTCCAGCTTCTCATTTATTGTTTCATGTTCTAAATCGAAAATTCTAGTTTTCATTCATCGAAGTTTGTTTGTTTTTTTTTTTTTGAGGTTGTATTTGGTCTTCGTTCGTGTTTGAATTTGACATTGAGCTTTGGTTGTTGGTTGGTTGGTTGGCTGCAGATTGATTTGACATCACAAATTGCGCGGATCACTTCCACGCTGAAGGTGACCCATCACTACCCTTTCATTAATTGAATTGTTAACATTTAATTGATTATTCTTGAATTTATTTGAGACTTAATGAAATTAGTTTCTCGGCTCGATTCGACGGGTGTAGGAATCACGCCAAGAATGTTTGGAAAGTTTTGCTCCTTCAAAAAATGAATAACAGATAAGAAACCATGTTTGCATATATCTTGAATTTGAATTGTGTGCCTTTCATGCTCTGCAGGTGGTAAATGAGGGAAGCAGTTTGGTTACAGAAGTTCTGTTGGCGTTTCCCGAGAATCAGGCTAAACATTTGGCACATCTGACGGCAACCCCCACCGAAGGCAAAGGAAAAGCGAAAGGTTCTAGTATTGGCTACCCAGTTCAAAATGTTCATCCGAAAGACATGCCTCCTGCTTTGACATTTTATTCTGTTGCTTTACCAAAGGGACTGGGCAAGGGGGACAGCTTCACTTTTGATCTATTGGCTGTTTTCACCCATGTATTGAAGCCGTTTCCAGAGAAAATTACTCAGGCTGACATTCAACTCCTAGTGTTTCAGGAAAGCGCATACTACCTCTCTCCTTATGCGGTCAAGGTGCAAACACTCAGTGTTAAATTGCCTGATGCGAGAATTGAGTCTTATACAAAAGTAGAAAATACAAAGAGTGTTGGTTCAGAGATCAAATATGGTCCTTATGAGAATCTTTCTCCCCTTTCCTACTCACCCATAGTTGTTCATTTTGAGAGCAATCAACCTTTTGCTGTTGCTGAAGAGTTGGTGCGAGAGATAGAGATTTCCCATTGGGGTAATATTCAAGTAACAGAGCATTACAAGCTTGTCCATGGAGGTGCTCAAAGCAAGGGAGAATTCTCAAGGTCCCTTTTTCTTTTACTTTTAATTGTCTTGTTGGTCATTTGGTGCTGTGCCATTCGGGAGCTTAAATTTAACTTTTGTTCATTTCTTCTGCAGACTTGATTATCAAGTCAGACCTCATGTCAGAGGTCAATCAGCCATTAGGCGTCTTGTTGCGAAATTGCCACCAAGAGCTCATTCTGTTTACTATAGGGATGAAATAGGCAATGTTTCAACATCCAACTTATGGAGTGATTCTAAGAAGGTAACTATTTTACCTCGCGTGGACTAATATTCCCAGTTGTTATTCCTGATTGTACTCAACTTGTATGTATGATTGCAGACAGAACTGGAAATCGAACCTAGATACCCTATGTTTGGTGGTTGGAGAACTGCGTTTACCATTGGATATGGCTTGCCGCTTCATGAATATCTGTTTGAATCAGATGGAAAACGTGTCCTTAATATTAGTTTTGGTTGTCCCGTGAATGAGATGGTCATTGACACCCTCATTGTGAAGGTTGGTAATGTGATGATTTATTGATACTATGTCCTTTGACCCTTTAATTCTTTTTTCTTCAGCTTGTGTACTTATTTGTTAGATAGTCATACTGAGTTGCTTTCATATTACTTCCTTTTAATGTGTAGGATGTGGTATATCAGAAGAATGTTTAAAAAGCATGATTTAGAGTCAGATTATGTGAAAAGAATTAATTTCCTCCTGCATTTTTTTTTATTTTTTATTTTTGACTGTGAACTGCAGGTTGTTCTACCTGAGGGCTCTAGAGATATATCTGTATCTACTCAATTTCCTCTGAAACAAGGGCGAGAGGTATTATTACTATTATAGACCAAGTTATAATTTATTATTTCTCTTTTGCCTCATCTTTTTTTTCTATTTGGAAAAAAAGCTTCATTTTCCTTTTCTTTCCTTTTTTTTTTTTTTTTTTTTTTTTTATTCTGATTAAATATGTGTACGACTCTTACAGACAAAATTTTCCCACTTGGATCTTGTTGGGAGACCAGTGGTTGTACTCGAAAAGACTAATGCTGTGCCTGAGCATAATCAGAAATTCCAGGTAACTATATTACATTTTCTCATAAAAGAGGAGATGACTGAGAATATCAAATTAGAATGTTTTTTTATTTTTGTTTGCTAAAATATTACATTTACTTAGTTTCTAATGTTGATTATTGTTTTCGACACCAATGTACATTTCTAGCGGTCTATAGGAAACAAGACGTGACATTTAAGTTTCCAGTATTGCTTAAATGAGATTGCAAGTGTCTAGCGATGCTTGTAGTGGTATCAGTTGTGGATATATTTTCCAAGCTTTCTGCTTCATCTTAGTCAGATTTAGTTTCTGTTTTAGGTGCCTGATTTTCTTTACCCTCTCTCTGGTAATTATGAATTTATCATGTATAATCAATCATCATTTTAATACTTTATTTATCTATTTTATAGAAAAAGTTGTCAAAAATAAAAATGTTGGTCAGCTGCTGTGTTGCCTGCCATGTAGTGTGTCATCTTCCCTGTCTTCCCACTGTTATCCTGCTACTCTTTTGAGGTTCCTAGTAATATATCATTTCCGTGAATGTTGAGATCGTAGTTCATAGATTTCATAATTTCTGCATGATGTATTATGTATTATGTTGGACTGTCTAATATTAACTTTCATGCTTCTTTTCTGAAATTAAGGGTGAAGTGAATCTCCGTACATGTGTTAAGACTTTGTCCTCAATTTTCTCTCAACTTTATTATCCTTCCTTTGCAGGTCTATTACAAATTCAACAGCCTCGCAATGCTTACTGAACCGTTGATGTTGATTTCTGGATTTTTCTTTCTTTTCATTGCTGGCATTGTATACATGCATGTGGACATGTCAATATCCAAGTCTTCTCCGTCTTATTTGGCCAAACTGCAGTGGGATGAAGTAAGTTTTTGTCTTGTATTTTTCTTTCTTAAATAATTTCAATAAGAAAACAGTAATTATTGTCTTGTTCTAGGTGCAAGCAGCAATTCAGAAGATCCAAAATATCATCAACCGATGCCTGCTGATACATGATAAGCTGGAAGCATCATTACGTAATCTTTCCCGGACAGGGGATGTCCAAGCTTGTAAAGCTGCTCGGAAAGCAGCTGATGGTTCGTTGAAAGAGCTTTCAAAAGAGATGAAGCCCTTGTTGGCATTCTTGCAATCTTCTCAGCAGGCTGCACAGATACTACCCAAGGTTGGTTCGCCTTTTAGTTGTAATTATAATATCTTTTTGTTTATGTACTGCCAACCACCGAATTAATTGGAACACTTCTCGATACACCGGGTTTTCGTGGCATGCAGAGTGTTATCACAGTACTGCTATGCATCTTTTAATTATAGCATTTATTATTTGGTTGCTCAAACAGGTGGAGGAGCTAGTTGTGAAGGAGAAAGATTTAGAAGAAAGGTTAATGGCGAAACACTCTACAGTTGTGGATTGCTATGAGAAGAAGTATGGCGGAAGGGAAATCGAGAGCCGGGTTGCTTCACATCTGCAGAAAATTACCGCCTTGAGGCAGGAGGTTGACGATCTTCTGGAGTTTATTGACGAGATATAAGAAATAGGCATATTTTGCGCTTGTTATAATATTCTCCGGAACTTTAAAGTGAGTGAAACCCAAGACTAGTTGCTTGTAGTTTTGTTTTGACAATGCATTGTATTACGAGTGCGATGGACTTGATTAAATTTAGCTTTGATCATATTTATTCGCATAAGTTACAACACGAATGATTAGGTACGATGAAGTTCAAACTAAGTTGTTCTGTTAGCAACTCGAAATGTCTGCATGTTTTTAAGGTGTAGGTTTCTGCAAAGCTCAGTCGACCGCGCTTATTTTTGACAGGTCAAGAAGAATTCTTTGTGCTATATACTGAATTCATTCAAACGATTTTTCGAATTAATCGACACAAATATGTTGCGTTACCATTTTAACCAAACGAGCCAGTTTCATACAGCAATGACAAATTGCTATAGTCGTCCAGATTACGTATTGAAAATGCAGATTCAATTGATATGAGCCATATGACCTTTACAAACTTTCCGTTGCGTACACAAGTCTCTCTCAAGTTTATCCCTACTCTTTGAAAATGGCGGTTTCAACTTCCAACTCATCCCCATTCTCCCACCGAAACATGAGACGGGAGATTGTCGAGCGAAAATAAACTACTGTAATCAACCTGTGCCAGGCTCACTTTCCGTCTGGCTGAATTACTTGCAAAAGCTCCAGATTTAGCTCAAACGTTGCACCAGGCTGCAGATTTGTGTGGAAAACATTCATTGTCAAATCTATGCTCAACATATTTGTTATATACAGCAAGTGATTTGCACATGTACGTAGCACTACAAGCTAGCTAGTACACATTATAACATGATCGATCAGGACTGTCTAAGAAACAAACAACGCTTCAGATCTTTTGAAGATTTGTCCAAAATTAACAAAGATTCGAGTTAAGCAGTGTATTAGACAATAACGATAGCACTGCAGTACGAAAATGCTCTCATGAACGAATAAAAGAATGATAGATGTTGTGATGCCTAGCCCTAGGGTAAGGTCTTGGAGTCAACTGTCAAGACTAATAAACGGAACAAATGATCGATGTTTAGAGGCGCTTACAGGGATCTCATTCATGCCCCTTTGGCCATAGCCAGCCTCTGGAGGAACAATCACAGTTCGCTGCAAGGATACCAGAAAACAATGACAAAAATTCAAGGAAACGATGAAACTAGATGGAATAAGTACCACATTTGTTGTATTTAGGCATAAAAGGAGGATTCCATCACCTTTCCCCCGACTTTCATCCCCTCAGTTACCGAGTACATTGCTTGAGGGGGTTTTGGTGCAGCTTGTGCAGAAAATAGACCATTGGCATTGTCCACAAACTCACGCTTTCGTTCTTTCCCCGGAGTAGCTCCAACTTTGAACACGTATGGCTAGTACAAAACAAGGAATTACGCGTTGGTAATTCATTCAAAAAGAGGCTGTGCATGATATGAACACACAGAACACACCCACAAAACAAAGAATAGAGTTGAGAACCTGCGCGATACTACGATTTCCGGCCAAGAGTTTAGATTCCCTGCTTGACACGGCTGTAATCCCCCGATACAAGCAGTCAAAGTGGACCTGCATTCAAGTACTTTATTGAATAAGAAAATTAACATCAATCAATCTACTTAAATTAGAAACACAAATGCATGTATGCACCTCAACTGTTGATCCTTTCTCAGCTACTGGACCCCTTCCCTCAACCAAATCATAATATTTTAATCCATCAGCTGCTGAAGGAACAAGAAATCAAGCAAGCAAAGATGGGTTAAACTTGTTTGGTAACTGTTCAGTTTGCAATTTTCATATTGCGGAATAAATTGTGGGTTGACCATTGCACCTAAATATAATCAACCAATTTTACCAATGGATAAATACAACTTTGTACATAATTATCCTTCAAAATCAACAACAAAATTCAAGAAATTGAAACAGTTAGATATGAGAAAGTGAGTAATTAAGTAACTTACGGGTTGTGCGGTAGTCTTCAAGGGGGATGATTTTCCTGTTGCGTCGCTCTCTCGCAAGTGAAGGCGGAGGAGGAGACGCTGCTGAAATGAGGGTGATAGGCAGCCAAGTACTAATGAGAATGGCAGCACATCTTCTTGAACAAGAAATCAATGACGAGGAAATGGGCAGCACTTTTTGTACTACTGAAACTTGCTCTACTTGCCCTTTAGTACTGCTGCCGCCACCTTTTGAATGAGAATGATGACGACTGAGACGCTGATTAACGGTCAAGCACCTTACTGATGCCATGGCCGTTGGAAATATAGCAGCAGGATGCCTGTTTTTTCAACCGCCCTTTCTATACCATATCCATATCCTTTTTTCTTCAATTTACCATAATACCCATACTACACTCTTTCTTTATTTGGCAAAAGAATATGGGATGAAATATTTTGTTTTATTAAGTAGGCAAAAGTGAGAGAGAACCTTTGTTGGGATTGGAGTGGAACAAGATCATATCCCATTGTCTTGCTATTTTTACTTGTTTTGGATATGGAAGATGAATACAAAAGAAAAGGAGTGAAAAAAAACTTATATGATTTCTTTCTGCTATTATTTGCGCTTTGTGTTCACAAAGGAAAAAGTAGAGTTGGCTTTTCGATCGTGTTTGGGGTCTCAAAGTGACCCCTTCATATAGAAAAGTTCACTGACAAAACATGTACAAACTTACACAACCATACACCAAACTTGTTGTAGTAAAATAGTGAAAACCATCTCATCGTGTGCAAAAGACTTCAGTGAATAGTGAAGACTCAGATGACATCCATTCTTACAACATTTGTTATCTTTTAAACGATGGTATGAATCTGACTTTCATCCCCTGGAAATTACTTTGACTTTAAACCCCCCCTAAGTCGAGTTTGCGAGTCTCACATTATCCTCTACTCTTAATGTATTTTTTGCCCAATGTAACGTGATACATGAGTGACCGTTTCTTTTTTCTTTAAACTTGATGTTGGAAAATGATTCATAGAACACTAGCTAATGGACAATTTAAATTACTATATTTAAAACTTTATTAGGGAACATTCGTATGATCTAAAATAGAACATGCTAAATTTCAGGTGTTTGTGTTAATAACTCTAAAATTTAAAGAACACGAAATCAATGTAGTTGATTGATACTTTTGGTTTTAAAACAAAACATTGAATGAAGAAATAATATTACATAGAAAGAGAAGGGGATCTTTTCACCAGAGTCTTGAGCTGATGGATTGTTCTGGCCTACTACTTGTACAAGATTAAGTTCATGTTAACTTCGGAGAATTTGCAAGATGTCATGATGTGACAAATCATATGCACACAGTTACTCATAAACAATAGGGATATTTGGTATTCTTGCCGGCCTTAAGTTGCTTGCCGGAGCCTCAAGTTTTGCAATGTTTTATTTCTCCCACATTCACCGCCACAATTGCGAAAATCACGGTCCTGATAGGAGGTCAGCGTTGTTGCCTTGAATATCTACGCTGGCCGTGATGTTTGCTGTCTGTTCAGGAGTTGATGCGTTTTTGTCCATCTTAGCCTTTGGTGGTGGCTTTGTTACTGAGTCGCCACCCGAAGATGCTTTACCTCCCGACTTCCCACCAGCCTTCTTTGCAGCAGCATTTTTTTGCCATATCTTTAAAGCCTTGTTAGTTTGTTCATCAAAGATCGACTTCTTCATTGTTGATCCCATCTGCGAATGTAATTTTAACGTCTTGGTATAAGTTGAATTCCACATGAAGAATCATAAAAAGAGTAAAAACGGCACGGAGAGGAATCAATGATTAGTGATTGTACCTGCGTAACCAATGCATATAGCGGAAGTGTGATGTAGCTGCACATAAACTGAACTGCTACCCTGCTCACATACCGTTCATTATTCATTATTTTGTATACGTAATGATACTCTCTTTGTTCACTACAAATTAATTCAAATGATATTCTGCGCTCTACACATGAAATGAATAAGATATCGCCATAGCACCTTGGATAGAACATGTTGAGGATAATGATAAATGTTCTCTTTTTAAATTAGTTTGTCCAGAATATGTTCTTTAAATTCACAGTCAAACAACATAAGCATATGTTTGGCGCGAGTTACTCTAAATATATAATGTATTGCGAGAAGTTTATGATCAAGGGATATTCTTCGTTTAGTGCATTCTCGCTGTAGAATTAGCAACGAGGAAGAAAAAAGAGAGAAGGTCGACGTACCCAAGTGCAACTCTAAGTGCTGTGAGAACGAAATTGTCATGGAAACAAGATCTCAGCCCAAACTCGTACTGCATTAGGATTCAAGAGAAAGCTTTTAATTTAGAATGCTGTTAGTGACATATATAATATAATATAAACATATATATACAAAAAAACAAAATACAGAAAGAGGCGATTAGCTTGATTATTACCCATATCCAGAAAAAATATGTAATCTCAAATGCATTCTGCACAAGTATAATGCAAAATTAGAAATCTTTATTATGAAAAATTAACCCACAAAGAATTTGCAGAGACTTAAGACATAAAAAATGTACCTGAAAGAGGACAAAATGGATCAGATGAAGAACTAACTGAGGCCAGCCGAACCAAAAATGCTCGTCTGAGACTTGCACCAGAGGTATTCCTTGGACTACAGCATGCCTTTCTTGGATTTCAAGTGCCATTTGTGTTATAATTGCTTGCAGCTTTGTTCCAACAGCTAAGATTATCTTCAACCAATCAAATAGTTAGTCAGTTTTTAATCTTTTTAGAGGGCAATTACCTCCCATAAAGAATAAATCATCATAAATATTCCTCGATCCGAAGGCAATTTCTCCAAGATAACTTTTTTGAAGTGCCAATAACAGTTCATATTTTACTTGTGTTGCAAGGAAGAATATTTTAATGAAATCATCTATATTAAAGAATACTTACAATTAGAGGAAGTATGGATAGCACAAACATAGCTTCCCATCCTGAAACAAAGAAAAGGCAAACTCAGTTAATTACCTAAAAGAAGAAAGAAGAAAGAGACATACATATACATATATATATATACATATATATATATATAAAATATGAATAACTTACCATGAACATTGAGAAGCAAGTAGAGAGTCATTGTAGTCCATAAGAGTGGACTGTCAGCATCAAGAGAATATATATATATAGTTAAGAAACAAAACATTTGAGATTAATTGCACAAATTTGAAGAAATTAAGAAATTTTAGTAGTAATTTTCTTACGTGATTCCCACAACCACCTTAAAGTCATCTTCTAATGACCTTTTGATATATTTTTGAAAGTCAAACTTACTTCCAGGTGCTAAATGAACCTATATAACAACAGACCAGCAGCCAGTCACCTTAATTGTTAAAGATTAATACAGTATTTCAAGTGCAAAATTCTTAATTTCAAATAATCAAAATTATTAAGCTAATTAATACTAATTAAGAGTAAAGAAGCTTACAGCGATGAACCCATGCCGCATGGTCAAGTAGTCAGCCCTACGAACAGACCTAAAGAATTGTCTGAAAAAGCTTACCTGAACAAATTCAATATTCAAGAACCACCCAATAATCAAGAGTATGTTATGATCTTGTTAAACAACAAACCAAATTAAGTTATATTGAAGCTCCTTCCTGCGTTGATTACATAAAAGTGGGAGAAAGTTGTCATCATTTAAAAACAAATGCGCACATCCTCCCTAGAGCTACTTCAAATGCAGTTCAGTAGTCGGAGCCGTCTATGTTAAAATAATTTTCTTTCAAAGATCACATATCTATGGATGAAAAAAATTTCATGTCGGAAACTATTTGGTCATCCAAAAACTAGTTTGCCGGAAAAATGAAATGACAAGTATGATAATCAAATAGCTAAAAGCCTAAATGATTTCTCATTTCACGGACTCATTAGATGGATGATGATCCTTGAAGGAGAATCTAAAGTACAGACGGTTCTAATCATTAGATTGCAAGCTGGAATACTTGAAACTTCCTATATCAAAGGGTATACGTAATCGTATGATTGTAAGCCCTTAATTTAATTACCAAAATTCGGTTTCCATGAAAAGAATTCTGAAAAGAGGAGTTAGTAAACTATTCTTACAAGATAGAAGGTGACTGGTGTTTTAGTCCAACACTTGGTGTGGTCTCTCACAAAAGATGTCTCGTGAGTGAGCCTGAATTTTGTAGGATCTGATTAAAACATAAAGTTCCAATTTTAGAACTCAACACAGAGAAGTCAGAAATATGACTAATGATGATTTATAGCAAATTATGGAAGACACTTAATTGTAATTAGTAGAGGTTGTGTTGTGGAATGATTTACCATTGAATTCATTATCATTTTCCATCTCTCGTTCCCACACCTTCCAAGCACGAATCTGCAGAAGTTAAGGGGATTCAGAATTATACTACTCCTGAAGATATACAAGAATTCAATATAATTCCCTCAAAAAATAAAAAGGAACTGAATAACGATCAAGTGACACAATCTCCAGCATCATCTGGAATCATATTCGATAATCCCATAATTCCACTGGGGGTAGGGATAAGAGAAGAACTTAATTTGTGCCCCCTTGCACTATATCTATATTCAAAGGAAGTTTGATTCTCAATATGTATACGAAATTTTGGGAAACTGGCCACTTAGACGCACAAGAAGATTTTTGCCTCTATTTTCAAAATTCATCAAAATTTGCCCTCTTTCAAGCGTGAAAAAGTTTGACTGATCCTATCGATTAAATGCATTCGAAACATAGCTCCCATTGCTCAAGAGTCAAGATCCTCCGACAACAACTTGAGCTCCTTCTCGAGAACAACTCGAGTGCCTGTCGAGCCACCTCTCTTTTCTCGAGTATTATATCTGTTTGCTGCAATATTACTCAAATGGTGTCGACATGAGCTCGAGTTATTGTGGGGGTGATCTTGAGCATTGAAACCTCAGAAATAGTTTTAAATGCAATTCTAAGAATAGGGTTTGCAAAATTTTCATATACAAAAATTAAAGGGCAAATTTTTTCAAACTTCTAAAAGTGGCATAATATTTCTCGAAATTTTCCAAAATTCCTATCCTTATTCCTTAAGGCCTCATTTGGTAGATATGGAGGATTGAATTGGAATGAATAAAACACTATTCTCAATGTATGCTGAAGGAAGACATATGGAAAAAATTGTGACAAACTTGTAGGTATACAGGAGATGGATTAATCAAGAAGAAAATTTATCCATTCAATCATCCCCAAAATGCTAGGAGTAGAAGAGAGGAATTCTCGTAATGTCTAATCCTCTTCACCTATAAGTGAGAGGTCTTAGATTTGAATGGGGTGATGGCAAGTTTAATTAATACCAATTTATTCCCTCACCCCTTAGTGTAAATATAACAAAAACTCTTCTTTTAATCCCCTCAAATACTAAATCATTTTATTTTACCTTCAAGCTGTCTGGAATTTAAAAATATTCTATTCCAGTCAATTTCTCTATACCAAACAAGGCCTAACTTCTATCTTCATGTCCATTAGAAATATGACGGTTCAAACTAATTCTATTCTGGGTTTTAGTAGTAAAACTTCCAAACAAAAAGTTATGACTTTAAATATCTGATGAACATATCTTCAGAAAAACAAAAATTTTCCTGTAAGGAAAATTTCAAATATAGATAGAAAGGTAAATGTATATACCCACCTTTAATCTTCCAAGGGTCATTGTTAACGCACCGTAAAAAACGTGAAATATTGCTAAAAAGAATATGAAGATGTGAAGTTGGTGTAATCCATTTAAAGATATCAATGGCACTTTTCCCTGCATCACAAAAAATTAAAAAAATTAAAAAATCCAACATTTCGATTAGGCAGAAGAAATGAGTGCATTACATTTAGCAGTAGCGTTATTATGTTTATCATTTTTTATCGACAAAATGTTGTGTGTTAAATTTTATCTCGTGACCTTCTTCAATAAATTAGAGATTGGGTGTCACTTATGTTGTACGTTATCAACAAAGGTAAGGATTCAAATATGTGCATGGTTTGAGCATATTTCAAGTAAAACATGCGTATTTAATTCAAGTATAAGAAGGTATTCATTTGTTATGAAGAAATTGTTTTATCAATTGTTGGGGTAATAAACTTATTAAATTGAAATGAAAGGAGGAGAAAGAAAAAGAAATGAGTAATATAGATTTGGTGTGTTACCGCTTTGCAGCCAGGACCTGCGCTACCACCAGCTAAATATCTGCGTTCATACCATAACAGCCTACGACGATGGTCACCCCCACCACCACCTGCTTCTTCGTCAGGGTCTCTGTACGGGCAAGGCAACATTGTGTCTGCAGCCTCTATGGGAATACACACTTGAGATATATACTTTTGCCCAAATGTCAATAACAGAGATATAAATCCCAAAACCATAAGCTCTGCGTGATGAAAGCAAAAGACAAATCAGAAACAAAATGAACGAAATTAGATTACTGATTATTTCATTCAGGACTTAATTACAAACACATATATATACATAATACATGAAATGAAAGCGTAAGATGTTTATATTGTCAGAATGGCAAGCAATTAAACATTGTCAAATATATGTATTACATACCCCCTTTCACTTTCTCAAGAGCTTCAAGCAACCCCACCTTCTTTTTATGATGAAAAAACTGCAATTGAAAGACGGGATAAGTGTATGCATGAAACCCTCCAAACGTTTGAATAAGAAGGTAAATTGAAATATAAAATCAACCGCGCTGTTTGAACCTCGATCGTGTCCTTGCGTTAATACAGAGTTGGAATTAACAATGAAGATGAACATATTTTAAAAGGAAATGATTAAATTAAATGACAATTTAATAATTGCATACATATATATATATATATATATGGATGCATGCATGCATGCATGGTACGTACCTCTCCAACCATGTGAAGAACCTTTTCCAAAACGATAGAAATAATAATGATAAGGAAGCAGACGGCGGCCAGAGCCCATGTTGGCGTCTGATCGAGTTCTCTGCCGGCATTACCCCCTCCTCCACCCGCCATTTCAAACTCAACCCTACGCCGCGGTACCTAGCGTGCCTTTAATTGTGACCTTAATTATTTAATCTCTTGTTAATTCAAACAACAACCAAACCCGGAGGATTTGTTAATATAACTACTGTTATATTATCAGAAATTAATGAACAAATGATCGGAAAATCAAAACTAGCTCTCTCTTTATCTCCATATACATATATATAATACAAATTAATTCAGGTCACGAATTAAAACGCCTATATATAAAGCTAAGAATATGACCTGAGGAGGAAGGAATTAGGAAAAGAAGAAGAAGAAAGATTATGTAATATGGTCGTCACAATCAGCAGAGGTACAAGCCAGGCTTCTAACGGTCTTGAACCGGAGAGGAAATGTACGGAAGGCTGGCCGTTACTCAACTGGCGCAACGCATGGCGGTGTGGCGCGTAAATTGGGATTCTTTGCCTTAAAATCTTTTGAGGCCGAGACCCTGCCACGAGAACCACAAGTCAATGGTCAGTAATCAAACAACAAAAAACCAAGTGGCAATGCTGACTTATGCCACCCTCCTATAAAATCATTTAAACAATAGGATCGTTACACTATATTTAGGGTTGGGGATAATACACGTAATTCATCTAAATTATTACGAGTAGGGAGATTTTAATTTGAAAGCAGAAGATAGGGAACACTACTTTAGTCAACTTGGTTAAATTCATGTCTATGCTAACTTCACAGATGACGTGAACGTGAAAACCGACTTCAATTTATTATCGATGTCATTACTTAATGCTAATAACCTAATTGAAATTGAATTTTCAAACCATTAGATTGTTATTTGAAGTATTTAAAAGATTGACATCAATTTGGAATAATGCCTAAAGAGTGGGTTGTTATCTATAAACTCTTTAAAATACTTCGCTAATTTTAACAGTAATTTAAGGTTGCGAGAAATGGCATTGGATAGTATATGATCTCTATATATAGTTCAATAAATTTCAGTTTAGAGTGTACAAGACCATTGAATTAGGGATGCTCCTAACCTCATATAAGGTGTAAACGTCCGCTAAACGAATGTGTCACGGAAGCAATTCATCTTAATTTGTCCCAACAATTGAATCGATGGAAGAAACAAAAGATAAAAAAAGCTCGCAACTAAGGTCAACAACACTTAACAGTGGAAAGGGTGTTTATAGTTGTTTGTATGACTATTTCTTATTGAAAGATAAATAACAAAAAAAAAGTAAAAGAAAAGCATTGACTTTTTTATTTAAAAACTTTCTTCCTTTTTCTTTTGTCGAACGATACATTTTTGTTACATTAGGAGCATGTTTACCAAAGGGGGATGAAACGATGGGAATCAGAATTGCACATATCCCCAACCATTCCAGCGTTTACTAAACCATCAGGAATCAAAATGATTGTGGGACCCGCATAAAATCAGGAATTCAACTTCTGGCCGGAGTCCAATTCTTGAGTGGGAGGAGCTATATGGATTCCTGGAAATGGCTTTCATCAAGAATCCAAATTTTATACCGGTAATACACTCAAACTCCAAAGATGAGAACAGTCTCAGTGTTTGCAGCCCTTGCGATGGTGATGGCTGGCCATAGGTGCTGCCTTCAAGCCCTTGCTTGACAAGGCTCGCGTTCCTGACGAAGACCAAAGAACAGGGAAGATGGTGGTCTCGCGATCAGGGGTGGGTCGACAACAGAGAAAGATGGGGAAGAGACGGGGACGAGAGAGAGATGCCTGGAGAATTTTAGAAAGGGGTGGGTTAGCAGAGAAAGATAGGGAAGATAGGGGAAGAGAGAGAGGTGCTGGGAAATTTCAGAAATGGATGGGTCGGCACGGCATCGAAGAGATGGGGGAGAAAGAGGACAGGAAATGAATTTTTTTCTTTTTTCTCTTTTTTTTTTGGGTTTGTTTTATGTTGGTAACTAGTAAGGAGCAATGAAAGAATAAAAGTTACTAGAAAATAAAAAAATAGTTATTCTCTCTACTGAAAAATGAAAGAATATAAATTTTATTAAAAATAATTAGATATAAAATAAATTAGTTACAAAAGGGGTATTTTAGTAATCACATTAATTTTCATTCCGATTCATGTGAATTAGTAAACAGTTTATATAAATCAATATCATTTATACTCCGATTCCAGCCAATTTTAGTAAACATCTTTAACAAGAATTTGATTCTGATTCCACCTCATTCCAATTCCTCCTCAATCCAATTCCTTATCAATTCAATTCCTCTCAATCTGATTACGGATTAGTAAATGAGCCATAGGTGTTAAATTAGACACTGATGGAGTTGAAATCACGACGTCATGTAAGAGCTTAACACATTTCCACCACTCTGTGATAAGGGGTCACTTGCTTTTTATTTAAAAACTTTCAACTAACCAGTAAAGCAACAAGGTCGTTGTAGTGTAGTATACTGGTAAGTATTTCCGCCTGTCACGCGATCGTGATTTCTGCCCATATTCTTTGCATCTTTTTGAATAGATGTACGCTATTATTCATTAAGTACTTTTTCCGGCAATTAGTACAGGAATTACCTCCAAAAGAACAGAAATTCATACACACATCTCTAATAAGTTACACCATTTCGGAATCTAGTCAAAGAAAAATGCCGAGACTGATGTGTTCATTTAGTACAACATGATGCAAACGATGCACTGCACATGATAGATGCTGTGAAACGAAAATCGAAAAACGAAGAAAAATCCTGGGTCCAAACTCTATGCATGAATAAAAAAGGTGTACTCAAAAGTCAAACCAATCTTGAAGAAGAAAAAAACTGGTTTGTTATGAATCGCTTGGGACAAAGACAGGAAGCTGGCCACCCCTCTATGCTCTACCCTGCTGGTAGATCCCCTCTCCAGACCAGAAGCCAATGAACTGATATTCCTTGTTCCTCTGCTTGGCTGTTCATTCAGAACAGGCCCCCAAAAGACTAAGATCTCGCTTTTTTTGGCAAGACCCAAGTTACCCTTTTTCATAGGAAGTTGTCCTATGTTTCCATTCCCATTGCTTTGTTCTGCTGACCGCGGAGATTGATCTGTCGATGACAGATAAATGGGATTGAACTGATCTATGTTTGAAGCTTTCGGCTCTAGCGGCGACGTGGTGAGGCTAGAGATTGGTCTGTTTGACTATCTTACAACAGCACAACCCTAAGTTATTTTCTTGCTGGCCTTGATCCTGTGTTCTGTGAGTGACATTCTTAGGAAGACACCAGTGCCCGGGATTGAAGAATGATACAACATAATCCGATGCGAAGCCCAACGACAAGTCACTATGCTTGGAACCAAAGCTTTGGCAACGGGACATGGTCTCTAAGACACCGTCCGCTACAGCTTCTCGTTAATCCCGCATTGAAAAGGCATACAGAAGAAACATGCTTCAAACTCCCTGGTTTCCCCTGGTTTCCTGGAGTGGATTGTTGTACAATTCAATTGTACCATGTGGATGATTTGGCATCAGGGCGTGTCAATCAGCTTCGTAGTGGTGACAGGAACAAGATCAAGACAATTTCGATATGCCATCACCGACTGAGACATGCATTTTTTGGTCATTTAAGAAAGTTACTCTCGTCATTATTTAGTGATGTTTCAAACTATACATTTTAATGTAGTGATTGTATTTTAGCTGAAAGCCATCGTGCTTCGTACTAGTTAAGATTCAATAAAATAACCACACCATTTGAGTTAATACATTCCGACGTGTGGGCCCCTCCTCTGTTACTACACAACACAGAATACGTTGGTTTGTAATATTTACGGGCCTCTACCATTGACCGTTTCGGGAAAATTGGAAGGGACCCTATACCCCTGTTCCAATTTGTAAACAGGCGCGACCTCGTCTTCGTAAAAGTCGTCGCATCGATCAAACCTCCAGTACAACTCCACAGCTCTTCGACTCGAATCATGGTGTCGGGGCAACGGTCCAAATTTATTCAAATAAGATTTTTCGTATTCCACAATTTCCAGATCCAAACCCAATAACTAATCAAAGCTTGAATTAAACACGAATTGGATGAAACCCAGAAGATGAAAAGAGGGTTACGCATTGGAACTGCATGATAAAATAACACAAATAAAGGGAAGAATAGTAAAACCATCATCGGCCAGCTTTGCCAACAACAATAAAAGCTTATGGTTCAGCAAACTTACCAACACCACCATAATTACATTTACAACCAAATGAATGGGAAGAATAACAACTCCGGAAAGCACAGGTTCCGCGGGCATTCTGATAGGCGGGGTTGCTAGAAGGTTTCAAACTTCTACCTTTATTCACCAGTGGTGTTAGATTGAACTCTCTCAAACAAGCGATATATCAGAGTAGATCTCGACATCTGAGGTTCTCTCTCTAGGACAGCAATCACATCCTTAACAGATATACTACGAGCCACCTTCGTTTGAGGCACATTAACTTGGTTCTTTCCACATTTTCTAATAGTCCCAGCTACGGAAAATAATTTAAATAAATTAATATATAGCTCAAACATGCCTAATGAGAATAATTGTCCAAAATATAAAAAGAAGAAAGAATAGAAAGAACATATAATTAGCGAAGAGAATGCAGAAGGTCTCAAGTTAGAAGAGAAACACCGCCAGCCTCAAGCTTCCGTAATATCCTATCCACAGCCTCCACAGTGTTGAAAATTTAATGGGCATATAGCACTTTATATGCTTTTGTATTTTGATTACTTCATACCTAGGGATATGCTTGTAAATGCAACTCAGGATATGCTAATTAAGGCACTTAAATACAATGACTATTTAAATTATGTTACTTGTGCAGAACCAAGGTGACGCAGGGCAAAAGCGTTAAGCTAATGGCCATCTGTTGTAGTGGTGTCAAATCACAGAGGAAAAATTCCGGCAATATATAGAAAAATAGAGATAGAAGGCAAAACTGAAGTTGGAATGAAGATACTTGAGTTCTAGGGAAAACGGGACCCAAAAGATCATTTTAATATGATTTTCTGGAATAAACTTATAAAAACTGCATGTACAAAGCGTCTTGATAGATTAGTTATACTAGGACAATAACCAAAACACTTAATAAATCCTACCCCTCCTAAGTATTTAAAAATGTCACATGACCCATGAGAAAGATAAGGGATATAACTTAGGGTATGTTTTAACGAAGGAATGGGTATGAGAAGGAATGGCATGGGATGAAGAAACCCCCCTTGGTTATCGCATACCTTCATTTTTCAGATATTGT